CCCCCACTCCTTTCCCCCCACCTCCTTCTCTCTTTGGGAAAAAAAAAATTAGTGGAAAGTTGACCCTCAGCCCCTCCTTTTTCCTCCCACTTGAAACCACCAGGACAGAGCCGGTCCCGCCGTCTTCAGTCAGAGGCGATTCCAGCTGAGATTTTCCTGTCACTCAGGTAGAAAAGGACAGACAGGGAGGGAAGGAAAAGGCCTGCTGATAAAACCCCATCTGCAGTGCTCTACAGTGCTCGTTTCGAGCTCCTTGCTGCACATTCCCTGCCTGGCAGGCTCGCTCCCTGAAAATCGCTGTAAACGCTGGGCAGCTCCTCAGCCATTCCCGGGCAGGAGAACCGGGAGCTTTATACTGACTAACTCCACTCCAACGAGATAGTTCTGTGGAGTCACCAAAAGTCAAAATGCCACGGAGGAAAGGCTTTTTTTTTTTTCCCTTAAGCTTGCTAAAGGTTTGTACAAAGCCCAGATAAGTTTACCTGAATGTGGGCGCAGTTATTCAAAACCTATAAAATGTCCCTTTATAATTTCAAGGGTTACATTATACATCTCCGTGGTATATTAATACTTTTTTTTTTTTGACCATTTTGCAGCTAAGTGCATGTCATGTGTGCCATGAGGGTTGGGTTTTGGGGCTTTTTATGCCTACTTGGGTAAATTCTGTGCGAGGAGATAGAGAGAAACAAGGAATGCTTGAGCTCTTAAGCTGCTCGTGCTTGCAGCCTGAGGCACCAAAAGCTTCAGACTGGAAGAAATGACAAAGTGGAAATGGGTGTTTTGAAAGCTGAATGGTAAAATTTGATTTAATGGCCTCAAGAGTGTATAATAAAAGCTGATTGAGGGGTTGAAGCTCTGATATGAAATAAAACTGCAGCCCCCTTGCAGTCCTCTGTCTTATTAGCAAGTCTGTTTCTTTTAGTGCTGAGAATCTCACCAGGACTATTCTGGGGTAGGAAAAATGCATCTTTGGAAGGTCTTTTTATTACTTTTTTTGTTTCAGTCAGCCTCCCAAACTGCGGCAGTTCAGGTGAGAAAGATGATAGAAAGGTAACACAAGCTAATTTTACAAGGCTTGAAAAGAAACATGGATCCATGGGAATTGCTGGATCTGGAACTACTCCATAAAACCCCCAGATTGGAAAATTCTGTAAATATCTAAAGTTGTTATTTTCTTTTTTACTACTCCTGATTGAAGGTACTGGCAGTTTATGATGTTGCAGTGTTTTAGAGTGCAGAACATCTGCTAAGGGAGATACGTGGTGCTTAGGCTGTGTTTTTTCAAAAAGCATCCAGAATATTAGCTTGGATCTTGGGACACTTAGGGTTTGCCCACTAACAGAGTTCCTGCATGAAGGAAAGATGTGTCCAGCCACCAGAAATATGGGGGACAAAATGGGACTTCTGTGAGTGCTTGAGAAGCAAAGTTTGAGGGATCAGGTAGAGAGGAAGCTGATGAGGAAAAATACCTGAGTGGTGCACGGAGCAGCTTCTCAGAGGAGCTGTGTGAAGATACCTGGAACAGCAGGGGGGACACAGACCTGCATGAACTTATGGAATTTCTGGGGTTCTTGAGAGATGTATTTCCCTTGTTCACTTTTGTTGGGTGATGGGTTAGAGATGGGGCACGCTAGTAGAACTGGCTGAATTTCAAAGGTTTGGGATGTTCATTTCTGAAACTGGCATTTATCACATGAAAAACTTTAACAGCAACCATGTCCTTCATCTGAAAGCATTTCAATTACAGAATTATGTGCTGATATCTGTAGGGGATTTTACAGCATTAGCTTCCTTTTGAAAGTGCAATTTCAAAGTTCATGTTGAAAATTTTATTTTTTTATATCCCCCTTAAAATAAAAGCTTAGTCTAAACTTCCTATTACAAACCCCCACTTTTCAGACACTGCTGTTATCTAAATTAGGGCTAAATTCTGTTCTTAGCTTACTTTCCAGCCTTGAGACCCTGAATTTGCATCGCATTATATTGGAGACATTTATGAGATGCAATTAATTTTCTCATTTAGAAGAGAAAGAAATCCCTGGGATTTGTTCTGTGCTGCTTTGTACAGAAACTCCACTGTCATGGTGGACTGTAGTTTGGGTTGTCAGATGTGATGCAGGACATCTGGTTTGCATTCACCAATATTGTAAAAAATTGGTGTGTGAGCACATTTGGGCCTCTTTGCTTTATCTCAGTCAGTGTTTCATTTTCTTCTTGTTTTTATTTTCCATCCTTTTGCAATACAATAACATGTATTTTGCCTTTTCTTGTTCCCCTTATTCTATAGGTAGCACACCTTGGCTTTTCTTTCTTCTCTTCTGTACATGAATGTTTTCCTCTAAGATATTTTTCCAGCCAAGTTTCCTTTCCTTTCTGGTGCTTTTTTGCACTTTCCTTTATCCACCTCATCTTTCCTACTATCCATGCTTTTTGATCTCTCTCAATTCCCCCCATTTTGTCAACCTCTCCATCTTCCCATAATTTCCTGTGGCTGCCCTTCATCACTCTTTGTTCTCTGACTCCTTTGTGCCATCTCCTCCCTGCATCTTCCCCGTGCACATCTCCCTATGAATGCAATTAGTGGCATTGGGAATGGGTTGAGACAAAAAGAGTCCCCACAAGGATCTGGGTACATATGGGGTCTGTTTGGTTCACACCAGGGTGAGTGTGGACCCATCATCTACAAAGCCCTTTGAAGAGTCTGTGGGTTGTTAAAGATCATGTGTTTTCATGGCCTTGTACCATCATATAAAAGGATTTGATGTCTTTCATGGATATATGAGATCTGACTTCTCTCAGCAACATGTCTTTGATTTTTGGAGTCATGTTCCTGTGAGAGAAAGCAGCTGAAAAACCTTAGTTTGGTGCATTTGTACAGTGCAAGAATCTATGTTATTAATAATTTTTTTAACTTTCATCTCAGCTGCAAATGTTTTTACTAGGAAAACATTGCTGTTCTGAAAACTTTCCCATCTTGGCTTAAAAGGTCTTTTTTTCATAATAGATAAATAAGAAAGTTAAATTAAAATGCTGTTTGTTTACACGTCTGCCACAGGTTTCACTCTGCTTCTGTGACATGCCCATATCAGCAGGTGATCTAAAAGTATTTACTGGAATGACCACCTGAAGGGACAGTTACAGATTTCACATCAGGAGTGCTGCTCACTCCTAAGAGGAAATAGAATATAAGTCTTTGGGCAGCAGAAGAGTGCTGCTCTTGGATGGGAAACGGTGGCAGAGTAGAGTCAAATTTCAGCATTTTCATGCTTTGAGATTCGGTTTGGTTTGATTTTTTAAATCCAGGCTGAAATCTTCTCCTGGAAGAACAAGCTCTCAAACCTGTATTGTGTAATAATTTTCTTTCATCCTCCAATATTAAATGAAAGCATTAATAATGTGCAATATCAAGTTACAAAGCATCTTGTCCTGGTCATCTAATGAGTCTGCTGTGATGTAAATAAACCCAGCATTAACTCAGAAGTGATATTCATTGCAGCTGAGATAAGCAAAGCCAAAGAACAAAAGTTCTAGTTGATAAGAATTAGATGAAATTCATACCCAGATTGGTGTAAACTCTGGGTAATTAATTGGCCTGAAATATTATCCAAAGAAGGTATGGATAATTTGGTTCAGCCCCCCTGAAGATCCCCTATGTTTCTTGAGACAATTAATCATTTGTGCTTTAAAGTTGCTTCCCATTTTCTCAATCAGCCCCATCTAAGAAGGTCTATTCATCTGATAATTTACTTTTTAGAACTTGGTTAGTCAAGGCAGGACAGAAGCTACAAGTTCTGTGGGTAATTTAAGAGATGAATTTGTGCTGGTGGCTTTCAAAAATCTAAATCACTGTAGTGGAGATCAAACACATCTCTGAAACAGTTCAGTCTAAGCCAGAGATCACATGATAGGAGAAAATAAGCAGGCCAGGAATTATTTTGTGCAACATTTCTAAAGAAAGATAAAACCTATATATGCACACAGAGCACTGTGCTCCAGACCCAGGTGTGATTCAAATCCTTTACTTAAAATACTTGGGTACAGAGGCATAGAACAGAATCACAGAATGTCCTGAGCTGGGAGGGACCCCCAGGATCCCCCAGCCCAGCCCTGGCCCTGCCCAGACCCCCCAACAACCCCACCCTGGGCATCCCTGGCAGCGCTGTCCAAACGCTCCTGGAGCTCTGGCAGCCTCGGGGCCGTGCCCATTCCCTGGGGAGCCTGGGCAGTGCCAGCACCTCTGGGGAAGAACCTTTCCCTGAGATCCAGCCTGAGTCTCCCTGGAACAGCTCCAGCTGCTCCCTGGGTCCTGTCCTTGTCACAGGGAGCAGAGATAAGAGCTGCCTCTGCTGCCCCTCATGAGGGTTGAGAACCCCAATGAGCTTTCACCTCAGGCTCTTCTTCTCCAGCTGAACAGACCAAGTCCCCTCAGCCACTTCTCGTATGTCTCCTCCAGACCTTTCCCCATCCTTGTGGCTTCCTTTGGATGCTCTCTAAGGGCTTAATGTCTTTTTTTTATATTGTGGTGAGCAAACTGCCCCCAGGACCGGAGGTGAAGCCTCTGCAGAGCAGAGCAGGACAATCCCCTCCTTTGCCTGCCTGGAGATGCTGGGGCTGATGCCCCTCAGGACAGGGATGTCTCTCCTGGCTGTCAGGGCACTGCTGACTCACATCCAACTTGCCATTGACCAGGAGCTCTTCCTGCAACTGCTTTCCAGCACCTCATTCCCCAGTCTGTTCCCACACCCAGGATTACCCCATGCCAGGTGCAGGATCCAGCACCTCCCCTGGTTGAGTTTCACGTGGTTGGTGATGACCCAGTTCTCTCATTTGTTTAAGTCCCCCTGCAGGGCCTCCCCTTGCTTTAAGGGAGTCAATAGCTCCTTCCAGTTTTGCATCATCTGTGAACTTGCTCAGTTTCCCTTCCAGTCCTGCATCCAGGTCATT